GCATTTTCCATCTCCGTGGTGGTGGCCTCAAGAACTGGCAATATCTCTTCCTCATCGAGGGGGCACTGACATGTTTCTTTGCTATCATTGCTTGGCTGTGGCTACCCAAAGGCCCTGGCTCCGCGTGGTTTCTTCGACCAGATGAACGAGAGTTTGCTGTTGAACGCATGAAACAAGACAACGCCGAGTTCGTACAGCATGAGTACAGCGAAGATGGTATCGAAGAGAATCGCTTGAGCAAGAGAGATTTCGTGGAAACGATGAAAGACTGGAAGCTGTGGACTGTCCTTCTACTCAACATTTGCGCAAGTGTCCCCAGCGGTGCATTCTCGGTTTTCCTGCCCCTTGTTGTTCAGGGGCTGGGTTATGAGTCTATCCTTGCCAACCTGGTATGTTTTACTTCATCTTAGCCTCAACTGGGCCTGACTGACTGCGAGCGATCTAGATGACAGTTCCGCCCTTCGTCTGTGGTGCTCTTGGCCTCTACGCCTTTGCTCTGAGTTCGGACCACTACAAGGAACGGGGATATCACATCTTGGGTGGCTTGGTCATTGGTATCATCGGTCTGATCCTTACCGTTACAATCTCCTCGAGCACTGGGCAGTACGTTTCACTTTGTGTGCTCCTATCTGGTGTATACATTTCGGCTCCTCTCACTATGGCATGGCTCAGTGGCAACACGCCTGAGCCTGGCAAGCGAGCTCTTGTGCTTGGCGTCAATGGTTTCGGTAACCTCGGAGGCGTGATCGGGGCGCAGTTGTACCGACAGCGATACAAGCCCCATTACAGATTTCCATTTTATGTCACGCTGGGTTTCCTTGCCATTGCCTTGATCGGATATTTGTCTTATCGATTCATGCTTGCAGCGGTCAACAAACGCAAGCAGGCGATAGTAAGCACCATGTCGCCAGAGGAGATCGAGAGTGAGAGACTCAACGACCGCCGATACGCAGACAAGAAGTTGACTTTCATGTATGGGCTGTGATTGTCTACAGAGACACAAACCGATCCCTGTTAGTCGCTAGAATTAGAATACTAGATAGATGCGTATGCAGATACAAGATCTTTTTTTCTCCGGTATCATGGTTACTTTTCTGCAACCTTCATGCTGGCCAGCTGGCTCTGCAATCCTTGCTTTCCTACCTTCATGGCCATCTCCAACTCCCTTTCTTCATCTCTCAATCGGGCTTTACTAGCCGCCACTTCTCGATCGCGCTTCCTTTTCTGTTCCTCCACCACACGGTTTCTCTCCTCCAGTGCCTTCTCACGCTTCTCGCGTGACTCGCGCTGCTTTCGCTGCTCTTCGTCGTCCTTGGCTGCATCTAGGTCCTCTGGTGGGGGAGGCAGATTGCTCACGTAAGCCTCGATCAGAGGATCGCGGATCTTGGGCTCGAGGGATATGAAGCGAATGTCGGTGAGGACCGGGTCGGGTAAGCCGGTAGATAGCGACTTGTTGTTTAGTAAGTGCACCGGCTGGGCCTTGAGCAGGGCAGTAAGATCGGACTTGAGTTTGGACTGGGGCATTTTGAGGCGACCAATGTGTTCTCGGTATGCCTTCTCGCGATCCTTGTCGGTGATCTTGTGATCTTTCATGACGTCCTCTTTCTTGTATTTTCTCTTGAACTCGGGCCAGTACAGCTTCGGCGTCGCCTTTTCTTGCAGGAATGCCATGTAAGCAATACGAGGATCCCGCTTTTCCTGTTTGGCTCGTTGCTCCTTCAACTCCGCGATCTTCTCGCGCGTCCATTCGTCCCAGCAATCCCGACGTGCTTTCGTCGTGCTGAGTGCTGTATATCGCAAGTCATCGATGATTTTGCCTTCCTCCAGGAGTTTCTCCCACGGGCTGTATGGGTTGATGTTGAAGTCGTTCAAGAGATCCTTAAACAGGTATTTCGCGTCGTCTACGGATAGAGGCACTCCCTCGGCACCTTCAGGCCATTCTTCAGCGTTTCCGTCGTCGTAGTCGCCTGGTTCAAGGCCGTAATCGTCTCCCATGGCCTGCAATTGAGCTGCAAAATCAGCTTCTGTGAATTCCATGGGGACGTCTTCGTCTGCACCAGGATCTGCAGTCCGTTGCCGTTTGGATGGATGTTCTCCATCGCCTTCATCATCCCCTTCGTCATCCGTCACCTCGACCTCTTCATATTCGCTATCGTCGTCCAACCCTGCCACTGGGGCGTCCTTCTTTTGCGGTATTGCTCGCTCTGGTTGCTTTTCATCTTGTTTATTCTCCTTTCCTTGGCTCTCTCCTGTTGCTTTCTGTCGCAGCCGGGCCTTGTCAAGCTCCAAAATGGCTGGCATCAACTTCTCCGGTATGCGCCAGTAGCTGGCATTCTTAACAGGGTTGTATACGAAGCGCCTCGAGTACTTAGTATATACGAGAATCCATGGTTCACAACCTGGGATCGGCTCCTTTTTCCTCGGCTTATCAACAGGTTGTGGACGCGGTCGACCTTCGAAGCCTCCACGACCTCCTCCATGCCCACCTCGTGAACTATTATTGTACCTTTGCCCATTATTATCTTGATTGAATTGTGCCATATAAGCATTAGCAACATTGGGATCGGCTAAGTATGGTATTGAGCCATAACCAGGATATGCGGGAGCTGGTGGTTGCGCTGGCTGTGGAGGCGGCTGGGCTCCTGGACGCTTGTATGTTGATTCTTTTGTTTCAGCGTTGTAATAGTATGTATGTCCAGTCGGTGCAGTGTGCTCGCTCCATCCTGGCGGGAGCGGTGCCAAAGCGGCTGCCGATGGTGTGTGTGTCGATTTGAGCATCTCGCTTCGTCGCGTCGCAAACTATGACATCAGGTTGTACATTCAGAAGCTATTCCTGAGATGGTGCTTCGGAAGCAATGTGTTCGCGCAGGCAGAGGCTCTAGATTTCCGATTGTCGATATTTCATCGGTAGGAGTTGTCTTGTTGAAAAGTTGTTATGGCCGAGGGAAAGCAACGAAGTTTCCTAATCGTCAGCCATTACAGAAGAAATCCGAAAGAGCTTGGGCCTAAGAAATAGTGGATGGTGATTTGACCTTACCTACCCTGTAACTGATCAACTCCATCTGAAATCAGTATATCAACCTCTCTTCATTTCAACGTTGGAGATGAAAATCCATGTTTAAAATATTGGCTGGCATTATTGTCTTGGATACAAAAATGGGTAGATTTTGGTCTGTTATGTCCCTCAGCACCGTTTCTGCGTGTAGAGTGCCACGGCGTTGAGGGCATCTCTTGCAATGAGTACCCAGACGAAACAACGGTGTTCATGCCGGGGTTGGGTTTGAAAAGTTTGACAGTTCATTGTAACCATTTAGTCCTGACTCTAAGTCTCCCGAGAACTAATAAAAACGTTGGCAGCATACTGTTGGTGTACATCAGTAACTTGTCATCTGCATTCTCTCATTGATAGGTACTGACTATATGGCCCCAGAAAACCAGCGGAATATCAGGGGGCCCTCATTCCCGCATTTGGCAACATGTCCAACCTCAGCAAGAGCCTGTTACGTCTCCTCAACAGCACCGAACTGATGAGCCGCGTCTCTTTAGCATGACTCGGTAACAAATACAAACGCCCTCTCATTTGCCGATAAAGAAAAACTGAATTTCCAATTGTTGCGACACTGCAGTCTGCTTACCTATGTTCCGACGCCTCCACCCGTCAAACCTGATTTCCACCATCGTCATCAATCATGGCTCCAGCTCATAGCTATAGCTCATCCAGCGGACCAATCTCATTTTTGAGGAGATATTGGAAGGTATAGTGACTCGTAAATCGGTACCTATTTGGTGTTATACTCATGACATACAATAGACAACTCACGCGCCTGATTATGTCGGCTTCCTGTTCCTCTCAACAGGCTGGATCTTGGTCTGTACTATATCGTCAGTGGGAACTCAGAACAATTGTTGACAGGTTTACAGACGGTCCTCTTCGTCAACCCATTTCATCGCATGTTCTTCATAAACGATCTGCAGATCTCGTATCCCTTTGCGGTCCACGAGCGTGTCCCTGTCTGTATGTCTCAAATATCAACCTCAGCTTCTGTGACTGGACTTAACAAAGACTACTAGTTATGAACTTCGTATACGCCCTTTTCATACCGCTGGGAGTTTTAATCGCTTACAACATAATCGCAAGGTCATCAGCGGCCAAGCATGAAGTCACTTACCTCTCGTTCCTTATCTCTATTGTACTCACATCCTTCATCACTGACATCATCAAGAACGCTGTTGGCAGGCCTCGTCCTGATCTGCTAGACCGTTGCAAGCCCGCAATCGGCACGAAGGCCAACACCCTTGTTACCATTGATGTCTGCACGGCAGAAGATGGCCACATACTGCAAGAGGGCTGGCGGTCATTCCCTTCTGGCCACTCATCCTTCTCATTCGCTGGCCTTGGTTTTCTCAGCCTCTTCCTCGCTGGTCAACTTCACGTGTTTCGTTACTCGGCTGGCGGTCGTGATCTAAGCCGCGCGCTGGTCTGCCTTCTGCCACTCATCGGCGCTGGTCTAGTCGCTATATCGAGATGCGAGGATTATCGCCACGACGTCTACGATGTCTGTGTAGGCTCCGCTCTGGGCATGAGCATCGCGTATTGGAGCTACAGGCGGCACTTTCCTCGCCTCTCGAGTACGAAATGCGACGAGCCTTATCCACGACCAGGAGTTGATACTCAGCCGGGATGGCAACGAATCACGGATGATGAGGAGGCAGCAAGAGGGACAGATGTAGGATTTGAGATGGAAAACTTGAGAGGTTCGCGACGCTGATATTGGGGACTAGGAATAGTTTGCATGCTTGTCCGAGATGCTCTGGCTTTGCCTGCATTGCAGTACTCTTTCACCGAAGCATCATGTGTTCGACAGCACTTTTAGACTTGGTCAAGCCAGGAGTTGGATAAGTCTCGTTTTGTGGTCATTTCATGATATTATTGTACAGGGGCAGATAAGAGTGGCTCCACATTCCTCTCCCCATCTATCAAGAATCTATAGCCTTGTTGCTTACTTTTCCTCTGTCTCCTCGTTCTTCGCCAGGTCATGCTCCTTCAACAACGCCGTAATTTCGTCAGCACTCCAGAGGCGGTGGTAGATCTTGCCGTCCTCAGTCTGTCCTACTGTCGCGAATTCAACTGGGAGTGATGTTAGCGGGAGTTCTGGTAGATATTCATAGACACGACGTACTCTTCTCGCTGCTCAGCTTGGTAGAATCCATCGTCTTGCTGAGAACCTTGACCGCCATGCCGCAAGCCTCCTTCAGAGTGCAGTCTTCCTTGTAATCCTGCTTGAGGAGACTCTGTGCGCTTGCGTTGTTGGCACCCGCACTTGTAGCCTTCCAGCCACCGTAGTTGCCAGAGGGGTTGCTGAGATAGAGCTGGAATTGTCTACGAGGATCCCAACCGGCGTAGATGAAAGACACACCGAAGGGTCGTAGACCACCGTGTTGGGTGTATCCCTGCTTAAGATCGCAAAGTCGACGCACAAGCTGTTCGCAAGGAATGTCTTCGTTGTAAGTTAGGAGGTATCGCTGAGCGGCTTGTCGGGCGTAGTTGATAAGGATGTTGGCATCGGCGGTCATGCCAGCGACGGCGCAAATCATGTTGCTAAACGAAAATATTGTCAATAAACAAACTTCGGCCTAGCAGGTACACAATGGAAGGCTTGCGCACTCATTCAAGATGTAGAGCTTCTCGGCGGAGGTGTCTTGCTCCAACAGCTTCGAGGTGACCTTTCGCTCGGCAGCTAAAACGATACCATCCTTTGCTAGGATGCCAATGGCTGTACCTGCGTGTGAGATGGCTTCTAGAGCATATTCGACCTGGTACAGACGGCCCTCTGGTGAGAAGATGGTTGTCTATAGAAGCCGGTTAGCTTGGTGGGAGAGCTTCAAGGTACTGGAGCTTCAAGGGCCAACGTACTCGGGAATCGTAACGGCGAGACATGATGGATTCGTTGTGATTTACGAGATAAGAGAGATGAAGAATACGGTTAGCCTCTCTGAAGCAACTAAAAAGCAGGTCGAAAGTAACAGAGAGCCGTTGTGATGGTGATGGTGTTGAGGCTGTGGATTCGTTTACGTCGTTACCTGTAACGGAGCTCTAGGCCGCCGCGCCGCGTTAGCTTTCTGCTGGTGAGCTGCTTGACACCAAGGCTGAAGAATGTTGCCTCAGGTTATAGAATGGGGGGTAAAGTCGAGCCAATCGACTTAGACCTTGAGCTGCAAGGCTGACCTGCATCATGACTAATCCTAAACCTTATTATTCCCATACAGTCAGTCACTGGAAAATACCTGTAGGTGGTAGAAAGACCTAGGTACTAACCTAGTAGGTACCTACCTAATGGCTTGTTAATCAGGCAAACATACTGCCACAATCAGGCATCAAATACTTGCTCTCTGTTGTCACGCAAAGCAATCGCATTGTCACAAACGTGGGTTCCTGACTTGGTTAGTTCCTGCCACCTGCCACCACAATTCAGCTACAGGGCATGAGCGACCGGGCGAAAGCTACTAGTTTTTCTACCTCCGCAATAGCTCCCTCCCCCTCCAGTTTCGGGATCGTGACTCTTCTCCTCTACATCATCATTTCACCAGCACCATCCTCCACAACCGGCTCCGAGAGACTACAGCTGCTTGAATTTATTTCACGGGACATCCTAAAATACTCCCCTGAACATTGATTCTCAACTGCGCGCGTCATTCCGACCACGGCACGCGACTTATCGCAATCTACTGATACTGGATCTCCACTATCGCAAAACCGTCGCGCACCTCTCACGCAGATCGTGAGGTCGCCTCAAGACATTACCACTTTTACCGCATTCACCATTTTCGAATTACAGCGAAACATACTCTTATCCTTTAGGTGCAGGCCACATTCCACCTGAGTGCCTGTGCTAGTGAGGGCACCTCTTTGCGCCAACACGGTTAGAGATTTGAAAGACAAGCATCTGCGCGTGGATCAGCTGGGAAGAACCTGAATCTGTTCTTGACATAGTCGTGACTCTCAATTATTTCCCACGTAATTACCTCAATGCCTGTCTAAGGGCGCACACCATCCTGCGCTTCGTTGCAACAGTAGAAATCCCTCCCAACACCTGCCACGCCACCAAACGCCGCTCAACATCGGCACGCGTCGCTTCATCTAAAACACCACACCACAGCCATTCGCACGTTCTTAATCATGTCCGGTAAGCGACAAAGACTTGCAAAGTCCCCGAAGCAATCCCAGCTCGTTCAAGACACAGCTCCCCCAAAGCGCGACCGACACCGCGACACCACGCATTCTGCAGCACCAACTAACAGCAACATTTCAGGCGAAGCGGAACCTCGACGATCGGTACGCGCCACTAAAGGCCAGCATACCAAATCATTCGACGAACTTGAACCTGCGGCCATGCCCAAAAAGCGACAGACTAAGAAGACCAAGAAAGCCAAGGAGCAGGAACAAGAACAGGAACAAGAACAGCAGCAAGAGCAAGAGGAGGAGGAGGAAGACGAACTGATCCGCTGTGTATGCGGCGCCACCGAACAAGATGAAGATTCCGGTGAAGCCTGGATCGCTTGCGAAACCTGCGGCGCATGGCAGCACAACGTTTGTGTTGGGGTAAGCTCATTCGATGATGAGATCCCTGAGCATTACTGGTGTGAGCAATGCAGGCCAGACGATCACAAGGAGCTCCTCGATGGCATAGCTAAGGGAGAGAAACCTTGGGAAGCTCGGCGCAAAGCACATGAGGAGGAGTCCAAGAAGAAGAAGCGTGGCGGACGAAAAGGCAAAGGCAAACGTCACAGCGAGACCAAGGAGGAAGATAAGACCAAAGCCAAGTCTTCCCCTGTGCCTGTTCCGGACGCAACCAAAGATAAGAAAGAAACAAAAACAGGGAAGCGAAAAGCCCGCGAAGAGTCTCATGACGCCGATGGCAAGGTACGATTTACATACTCCCTTTTCCCTAAATGCTTAGCTAATACAATGTGTAGTCTGCCAAGGTTCGTCGCATATCAGAGAATGGTGCAACTCCTGTTCCTGTCTCCTATACACCACCTGATGACCTCGCCAAGTCGATACCAGATCTGCCTGGTCCTCGGACTGGCCCCGCTAAAGCTATGAGCAAGTCCATCGGTCATGTTTTGACATTGATGCAGAAGCAGGGCGAACTGGACCTGGAAGAGGGCAGTACAGTTGAGTCTATGACTGAGACTTTCTCGCTCCAGATCGAGCGCGCTGTTTATGATTCTTACCCTGTGACCAAGGGACAGAAAGAATACAACCAGCAAATCAAGTCACTGACTTTCAACCTGAAGAACAATCCGGAGTTGTGTCATGGACTTGTCCATAAGACTCTATCCCCCGCAGCTCTGGCTACTATGACATCAGAGCAGCTTGCCTCGTCGGAAATGAAGAAGCAGACTGCCGAAATGAAAGCCAAGGCTGAGAAACAGTCCATCCTCTATACTTCTGAGACAGGGCCTCGCGTTCGACGAACACATAAGGGCGAAGAGGTCGTTGACGACGAAACATTTGTCAACGACTCTGCTGTGCCCCTCCCACCAGGCCCCCCTCGTCGACCAGAGCCTCAGGCCGTTAAGAAGGAGCCTACAGGAGGCGACAAGGCGGACCTGGCTTCACACCCACAGCAGCAGGACGATGAGCAGCGATCGCCAAGCCATCCCGAATTCGACATCAATGAAGTGTTTTCCAGCGTCAAGTCTCCCACTACAACTCAGAATAGGCGGCCTTCGGCTCTGGTAACCGGAGCCAATGGACCGGGCGTGGATCCCGATGTAGATCGCATGCTCCAAGATGAGAACGAGTCACCTCCTTATTCGCCCACGGAGGAGACTCAAGACCCCGATGTCATTTGGCAGGGCTCTCTTGCTATGAGCTCGATTGCTGACTTCCCAGCCACAGCCAAATATATCGGTGGTGCCAACTTTGCTTCAGTTGGATCGTGGTCTAAGTTGATTCCTAAGAGGATGACGGTGGCTGGACGAATCCCCGAACAAAGTGCTATCGAGTACTTATGTAGTCTTCGTTACAGTAAAAGCACCGATGTCATTGTCGTTTCAGTTTCACCGGTCTCGCCTTTTTCTCTAACTGAGTTTCACAATCTTCTTAACTACTTCATCAGCAAGAAGCGGTACGGCGTAATTGGGGATAAGACAATCGGTAATGTACGAGATACATATCTGGTACCAGTTCCTGCAGGGGAAGACAACTATCCCGAGTTTATGCTCAACCTGGTCGATAATAAGATCCCCAAGGTCCGGACGGAACCAATGTTGCTTGCGGTGTTTGTTTATCATAACGAGCCTGACCAGCTCAAACATGTGAAGGATGGTACAGCCAATCAACAAGATGCCAAAGCCCTGGGGACACCAGTGCCTGCAGCGTATGCTCAGAGAAGCAACTCAACAGCGTCCGCTGGCCCGGCATTTTCTCCTGCAACCCCCCAGGCCCCTCAGGGAGGGTTTCAAGGAGGCTTTCCTCAGCAATCATCACCAGGCCAATGGCAATCTACAACTCCTGTGCCAATTCCCCAGCCACCGTACACTCGGCCACCAGTGCCACCACAAGCTCCAACACCGGCACCTGCAGCTGCGCCAGCACAGATGTCAGAAGCACAAAGGCACCAGGCTCAGCAGGCGGGTGTGGCCATGGCACACGAGCTCCTGGGACAGTGGATAACATCCCCAACCGTGCAGTTCATCTTGCCTCAAGCGTACCAGATGGCCCGCAAGGAGTGGGAAGTCGTAAGGAGGGTTCTGGAGCGTGACCCGAAAGCTCGAGACGACCTGCAGCATCTTGGTAACCTTCTGGAGAAGGAGAGCGCCACAGAAAAGACAGGAGGAGCTGCTGCATGATCATGTTATGGAACAAAAAAGTAACACGCAAGAATATATGATGCCGGCAAGGGGCGTGCAGGAGTTGAACAACGGAGGCTTCTACAAGGCGGTTTTGTTTTTTTCCTTCATATGGGCTAGGCGGCATGTATATGCTTTCGCAGAGTATGGTTAGGGATGGGCTATTGGATTTTATGATACTCTCGAGAAGCGGAAGTCGCGGATTAGTGTTCTTTTATATACCTTACCATACCTGTACCGTAGCTATGACTTTCTCTTCCTTTATGTTCTAACATTCATCCTTGATTTGCCAATCAATTGTAAATGTTTCAAAGCCCTGAGCCATATTTAGCCGTTTTTAGATCATTACAAACCTTACATGCAGGTATCCTACAGAAGATGTGGAGCTTGTGACATCTGAAGTATCTCAAACTGGTAGAACTTCTTTGAATTGCAACACAGGTTTCCCATGTTCTCAAATCACAGGTCACTTATTTCCACTAGGTACCGTTTATGAATCGAGCCCTGAAGATGTAAATGTAGTATCAAACAATTCATATTACGTAGCTCCTAAGAACCAAAATACTAATGTAATGGTTAATAGCTTAATCACAAATGAGTAAACAAAGATGTTTAAACGTCCGCTTGGTATTACCATGTCTTGCTCCACGTTATAGGAAGCAGCCGACGTCGGCGGTCAATGACGGTTCGGTAAAAGTGGAGACACCTCCGCTCCCGTCCGTTCTAGCAGACTGTTCCCCGGGGGGTGCCGTTCACACGCCCCGGTAGCTCACGCTCACCATTTCTCTTTGCCCTTTTCCAGCTAGAGACTTAGTATATTTCTTTCCATATGGAACTAGCTTTTAAAGCAATACTTCTCTAATTTACTACCTATAGAAACAAGCTCCCTCGCCCCCAAGAGCGTGCCGTACTCCTGTTCATAGCATTCATAGCAGAGATATCAGTAACGTCAAGCATCCCTCAAATCAAGTCCACGGGGGTCGGTCTGTTCAGTTCTGGTGCGAGATATGTATGGAGAGTGTAGACATCTTAAGTTGGCTACGAACTCGAGGGCATAGTATGGTTGATCCCTCATACATA